TTGGGCAAAAAAAAGTTTGTTATCATCGCACGGTAGCGCTCGCCATTCACAGTTACGTTCCGGCCATTGTCGTCTTTGAAGAGGTACGGCCCGATGATGCCACCGGCCCATAATCCACACCAAACAGTGATTTTTTCGGGATGCATTGGTAGCTCTTGCAATGCTTCTGGTTGGTCTTCACTCCAGATGCGGCAATTTTGCTTGTTAACGTACCCATTCAACCAGAAATGAGCTTCGTCGCTGAACACAATTTTTCGATAGAAATGTGGATCTTTTTCCAACTTTTCCAGCGCCCATTCATCAAATTGGAAACGTTGTGGGAGGTCGTGTGGCCTCAATTCTTGCACCAGCTGTATCTTATAAGGTTTTACACCCAAATCCTGTCGCAAAATTTTCCACGTAGTGGAGTAACATAGACCCAATTGCTGCGAACGGCGGCGAATCGACATTTCACGGTCATCACTAACACTGGCGGATACAGCCGCAATATTTTCTTCAGTCCTCACTCTACGTCTGCGTGTTGGTGGTTTAATGTCCAATAATGTAAACTGGGTTCGAAATTTAGTCACAAGCTTCCGAATAGCTCCCCCAGTAGGCCGACCAAATTGCCCATAAATTGGAAGCAGTGCTCGATGCACTCTCTTAACCGAGCATGAATTTTAATAGTAAAATTCAATAATTTGCAAGCGTTGTTCGTTCGTAAGTCGATTCATGGTTAAATTATAGACCAAACTGAACAAGTTTGACAATGACACAAGACACGATTCACGCGTCATTTGTCAAAAACAGCGTTGCCAAAAAGATACTAGCAAGAAAATCACCCATTAGAATCCCCTTGTCCAAAATACTGCACATAATCAAAACCGGTTGCTATGCAGAGGTACCACACAATTTCTGTAGGTATATTACTTGAAACACTAAATTATAGTTATTTTATTTATTTCTAACTAATATTTTATCAAAACATTAGATTAAAATGCAAATATTACCTAGTTTCTGATACCACGCCATCCCTAACCTCAAAGCACGTGCACCGGCAAATTAAAACTGAAACAGCATCAACGTTGCCAAATATTTTGAACCTCTACAGAAATATTACGAAAAATGTCCAGTGGGCTGGACGTGTGGACTGAAGAAGTCTATAACCAACTTTGGTTTTTCATATGGACACTATATTGGAAGGCCATTTAAATGGACTTGTCATTTCGAAATGCAGCGATGTATTCCCTTAGTTGGCCATGCATTTGTTGTTAGATAATAATATTAATATAAATTTCATTGATGGTAAATAATAATAATAATTATAAATAAGAAGAGATAAATCACAGCAGATATTGTCTGTTATTTTGTAGGCCTGATTCTTCTCTGTGCATTGTTCACTGCTCGATTTATTTCTCTTCTTCTCAGTCTTCCAAATCCTTTTACTATGTTCAATTTGAGGTCTGGTCTGGTATACGAAACTGAAAATGATTACTGAAAGATGATAGCACGCGATACGAAATTACAGTTTTTGTAAATTGAGGATTAAGTAGGGCAGAATGTTTGAAACACGGAAACTGCAACATGCAGAAGTTTTTTCAAAAAAAGATGCTGTAAGAATCGTTCTGCTTTAGCACATCAGACCGTGTAAGATATCTGAAAGCGCGACATCTGAAATTCCGATTTTTCTATTTAACGCTGCGAATATGTTCCCGTTGATCAGCTCTAGGCAAAAAGTCAAACGAGAGAACTGGCGAAGCTCCATGCATTCCATCCCGCTCATTCAGATTGATTCGGGAGTTATTCGAATATTCGATTCCTTTGCAGTCGCTTGTGACCCTTTCATTGCAGTTTCTGCACTCGTTCGCCGTGAATTCCGCGCGTTTCAACCTCCCAGGTCGGGATTTAAATTAAATTTTTTCACGTCCCTGTTGAAAGGCGAAAATACGGAGACGGCCAATAAAAGTCGCTACTAAAAAGACTTTTCGCGCTCAATAGGAGCTCTGTTCATATCAAAAAATGCGTCGCAACGCGGAAAGCTCAAAATATTAACGGAGGAATGTAGGTGTTTCAATTTCGACTCTCACCGTTGAGATGTCGGAAACGGTAATAGATACGAAGTCGGTTAAAAGTTGCACATTTACGTAATTAAGAAAATATCACTCTGAAAGTTTAGCAACTCCGAGTATTTACGTAGATAGATTAGAAAAGCTGAACTTATTATTTGAGATGAAGAGTACATTAACATTGCCACTTTTTCTCTTCTATACTAAGTGACATATAAATACGAACACCCAATTTAAATGGTTTTATTTTAATAAAAGTTGGTGAATGTATTTATCTTACTGTAAATAACAAGTGAAAAAATTTTCAGCCTTATCAGTTGGACATTCCGGTTTTTATACTGCTTTTTTTTAATTCACTAACGCTCTAAAAATGAATATTTCAGCCGCAATAAAGAATCATCGTTGGCGGATTTTGGTTCTTGACATCCTTTACGATCGGTTACGATGCCTAGAGTACGGAGACCTGTACGATTTCGTCAACTTAGTGAGTTTGATAGGGGCCGTACAGTGGGACTTCGGGAAGCTGGACTTTCTTTTCGGGCAATTGAAGTTAGAGTGCAAAGAAGTGTAGACACTGTGGTTAGGTGTTGTCAGGCTTGGCTTCGAGAAGGCCGTACGCAAAGAGCAAGGGGCACTGGACGCCGCCGTAGAACAACAGACCGTGAAGATCGCCGCCTAAGATTATTGGCCTTAAGGGAGCGTTTCTCCACTACCAGGTCCATTGCAAATGAATAGTTTGCAGAACACGGAAGACCTATTGGCATGCGAAGTGTTTACCGATGAATGAGAAGTTTTGACTTGTTTTCATACCGGCCACACTGGGTCCTCCCTTTAACTCGAGAATATCGGCGTAATCGCCTTGAGTGGTGCAGACAACGGTCACTCTGGGATCAGGAATGGAACAGTATTGTCTTTAGTGACGAGTCTCGATTTTGTTTAGGCATGCACGATGGTCGTGCCAGGGTTAGAAGGCGACGTGGTGAAAGGAGGAATCCACAGTTTTTTGTTGAAAGACATGTTCATCACACTGTTGGAGTTATGGTTTGGGGTGCTATAGCTTATAGTTCCAGGTCACCTTTAATCTTCATCAGAGGTAACATGAACGCGCAGCGTTATATCCACGAAGTTCTAGAGCCCCATCTTTTACCCTATCTTGACACCCTGGCAGATCCAACTTTCCAACAAAATAATGCCCGACCACATATTGCAAGAGTCACAATAAACTTCTTTGTCACATTGTTACCATGGCCACCAAGATCTCCCGACTTATCCCCAATTGAGCACGTGTGGGATATGATGGGTAGGAGATTGCTCAATTTGCAACGTCCTCCTCAAACTCTAGAAGCACTTCGAGAGGAGTTGGTGGTTGCCTGGAATGAGATACCACAGGAGGACATTGACCACCTGATCAGAAGCATGCCTAGGCGCGTTGGAGAATGCGTAGCACATCAGGGTGCACCCACACATTATTAAAGGTCAAAGGGCTTTAAAGCAGTGCAATCATTTTGAAATTTTTATCATTTACTTATTATGCTTCATTAAGTACTTATACAAAATTTCATTAAAATAAAACCATTTAAACTGGGTGTTCGGATTTATATGTCACTTAGTATATATTGGATATTTTACACAGGTGAATAATGTTTCGCAATAGTCAATTCTAGCGATAGATGGATCTTCGCACTGCGTTATTTCGATGGATCGTTGCCCGAGAGACCCAAGACTAGACCAAATCAGCCATGAGAATATAAGGTAATCTTATTTTTACTTACATACTCTTTTTCACGTGGTACCAGTGAATCGGTCCTCTACCAAACTTAGCAGATACGCACGCGTTCAAAGTATATACGAGGGATGTCTTTGAAGTTTTGCATATAGAAACATAGTAGGCCGCGCGGATCGAACGTCAGTACTGAGTCTTAACCTCACTCTTTAGTAATCTTAAATGCAACGTTTCACAGCAATACGTGGACACATGTGACCTCAATTCAAAAAATTTTACTTGAAGAATGTGTACGCATTGTTAGTGATGATGAATCGTGGATTTACTATTTTGAACCAGAAAATAAACGACAGTCGGCTGTTTGGGTGTTCCAAGGTGAAGGAAAGCCAACAAAAGTCATCCGTTCTCGAAGTGTTTCGAAAAAGATGGTCGCGACATTTGTGTCAAAAGCGGGTCATATTGCAACAATTCCTCTTAATGAACAAAGAACTGTTACTTTGGATTGAAATACCACCATTTGTTTGCCAAAAGTATCACCGAGCTTCGAAAAATCAACCCCGAAAGAAGAATCATCCTCCACCAAGACAATGCAAGCTCGCACACAGCCCAAAAAACAAGGCAGTTTTTAGGGGAAGAAAACATGGAATTATTGGACCATCCTCCATATAGTCCCGATGTAAGTCCCAAGGTTTTTTTTACTTTCCCGAAAATTAATAACAGACGGCGTGGTCAAAGGTTCCAGTCACCAGAAGAAGCAGTTGACGCATTCAAAAATGCCGTTTTGGATCTGCCAGGAAACTAGTGGAATAAGTGCTTCGAAAATTGGTTCAAGCGCATGCAGATGTGTATCAATCTTCGTGGAGAATACTTCGAAAAACAATAAAGTCATTTAAAACTACATACTGTGTTATTTTATTTCCATATGCAAAACTTAAAAGACATCCCTCGTATAAACGATATTCAATTCCCCACGTTCCGTTTTCCCGAAAATAAGTAATGTCTGGCAGCTCTGGGATCTTGAACGACTATCAGTAAACAAAAAATTCTTCGGATTTAAGTCCCAGTTTTTCTTTTATTGTAACCTCAAGCTTAGCTGTACTCTGAGGAAAGGAAAACGAAAGTGGGGGAACTGAAATCTCCTTCAATAAAAAGCTCCTTATGGATTATTATTTTGAATTGATGACACGACAGAAAACGTGTATAAAAGCTGCATAGAAAGTATCTTTCATTACCTGTGATCATCGCTGAAGGTAGGGGATGGTCTTTCTTTGATAAAGGACCCTGACTGTGCGTTGGAGATCCTGGAAAGAAAATTAACTTCATTAGTTCTTTCAAAGGCATAGGAATCTATTCTGAATACTAAAAGACATAATTACAACACAACATATTCTCAGATATACAGGGTGACTTCGAAGTTGAGTCACTTATTTTAACAGTGAGTAGATCTGATCAAAAGAAATGTTTTTTTCCTTTACCATTTTTCTGGTAAAATTAAAGTAACAAAGTTATAGCCCTTTGGAAGTTTGAGTAGCGCCCTGTCTCAATAATAATATTATGTGCTCGTGTTTGGCGACAACGGATATAATTCGCCTTATCGGATCATTGCATCGGAAACAAAAAAGCGAAAGAATTTGGAACGATGTTTTTACAATTATTTTATTCAGTTCAGTTACACATACAGTCAGTGTCAGTCGAAGGGTTCATCTCTGGTCAGTCGGTAACGCGTTTGAATAGTGTCTGTTGCGTGGCTCAAACGAAATAAAAAATGGCACATGTTTATGCGGATCGGTTTCCCAATCGAGTGCAACCAACCCCTCGTGCCTTTGTTAATGTAGTACAATGGGCTCTTGAATCAGGTGACTTAAGACCTCACAGGGGACCTCACGATCAAATACAGGTCCGCACTGAAATACTTGTCGGGAGGATACTTTATAAAACAAGGTAATATTTTTTTTCATTTTTTTTTATTTTTACACACATATTTTGGTTTATCTTCCTTCTACAATCATTATCTGAAAATTAATGACTCAACTTCAAAGTCTCCCTGTATAAAATTCATTAGACATTTTTCTGAAATCCAACCATTACGGGATTATAATAATACATCAAATATTCAGCAGATATAGTTAAACTAAACTGCTGGTCAGCTGTAGCTTTCGCCGTTCCAACCCTTCAAATTACGCCACCAAACTTCAACCCTTCGTGATTTTACTAACCCTAAAACTTTACGCTGAACGGGCACTATCCCTCCAATTAGCTCTAATTTCTCTATAGCCTCTGTGCAGCAACTTGAGAGTTTCTGGCCATAATTGCCTCTTCATATGACTCGTCAATTCTGCGACGGGCACTGAGGGTTCTTTGTGGTAATGGTTCCTGTGAGGGCGCTATCAGCTATTATGCAGTCTATTAGGGGAACGTTCTTGTATCAAAAGCAACTTGATTGAGGAAAGGGGCCGCACAAACTAAACACGTACGTACGTCAGACATCACCAATGACTAGAACTATACCGTACTGATGATTTATAAAATGCAGAAAACAACGTTGTACATGGTTGGCTTTGGACACAGAGTAGAGGCGGAAAGAAAACAGATACTATTATACACTATTTTACAGACGAGAGAATCCTTGAATTTTCATTTATTTTTCATTGAATATTTCACATTTAAGTCGAACGACCATTATCATCCCTACTTCTTAGCATTTCGACTAAGATGGCACATGCTCATTGCGTGGAATGCTTTCATTACGCTCAAAGGAACGTACTTTTTTTTTATGAAGGCATCTATATTTTGTGACAATTATATGGTATAGTTGAAGTCACCGTTCTTGGCAGGTCAAAGTAAGACTAGCAGTATCCCTTTATATATCTCCATGTCCTTCATACATACACAACATGCAAACTACCCTTGTGTGTGATCGGTAAGCTCAAAGACATACGTTTTTAAGTTGTGTGTCTCCGTCTCGAAAAGTTTGTCGTTACCTATAAGTGCCCTTCAATGACAACTTACTTGACATTGGCGTGCAATTTTGGTTGTCATGTTATCAATCTTCAATATAAAATTGTACAATGTCCGGAAATACGATCATTGAAGAAGGCCGACAGCTCGTGCTAAATTTATTTCCAGGAAGACAGCGGTCCTCTGTTACCCACTCTTATGGTATGGAGACTCGAACTATTTACTAATTTCATAAGGCGTTGTAATCTGTAATTAAAGTTGTTAAAAAAATTATCCACCACGAGTTCCTATTATGAAAATACAGCGTAAATCCTAGATTCCGCCATTTTATCGCTGTTCTCTTTCACATCTCTCCGGCGGTCGCTCTATCCTTGGGATCTTGAAATAAATGAGGCCTTTATCTCCATAACCCGATTCAGCAATCGAAATTCGCATCACTCCCCGCCGCAGCGACCACCGAGAAAAAAAATTACATCCGGCTAGCAGCTGCTCAGGATTTATGGTGTCCAGGGTACGAACATGCCTTATTAATTGCCGCGCTGGGGTCGAGTTATATTGCAGGATCGCTTCTAATGTAACAGGAAATTAATTAGGCTCTGCTGCTGTATCGAAAAGTTTTGCTATATACTTAAATAGTGGAATTATATCGATTTTCAATGGCATTATAAATGTTTTTCCGAAAGCGTTATGCTGAATAGTATAGCCGTGGAATAGCTTTGGCAGTTCGCAGAATTAATCAATACGCGACCCCAAAACTTGACAACTCTGGGCAGAGTACGAGAGCTTGAATTTGCAGGGATACCTGATATTTTTTTTTAAAACTTAATTTTTATGAATGATAAATAATAATTGGTGATTTTTTTGCTAGTATCTGTTTTTGACAGATGACGCGTGAATCGTGTCTTGTGTCATTGTCAAACTTGTTCAGTTTGGTCTATAATTTAACCATGAATCGACTTACGAACGAACAAAGCTTGCAAATTATTGAATTTTACTATCAAAATTCATGCTCGGTTAAGAGAGTGCATCGAGCACTGCTTCCAATTTACGGGCAATTTGGTCGGCCTACTGAGGGAGCTATTCGGAAGCTTGTGACTAAATTTCGAACCCAGTTTACATTATTGGACATTAAACCACCAACACGCAGACGTAGAGTGAGGACTGAAGAAAATATTGCGGCTGTATCCGCCAGTGTTAGTGATGACCGTGAAATGTCGATTCGCCGCCGTTCGCAGCAATTGGGCCTCTGTTACTCCACTACGTGGAAAATTTTGCGACAGGATTTGGGTGTAAAACCTTATAAGATACAGCTGGTGCAAGAATTGAAGCCACACGACCTGCCACAACGTTTCCAATTTGGTGAATGGGCGCTGGCAAAGTTGGAGGAAGATCCACATTTTTATCGAAAAATTGTGTTCAGCGACGAAGCTCATTTCTGGTTGAATGGGTACGTTAACAAGCAAAATTGCCGCATCTGGAGTGAAGACCAGTCAGAAGCATTGCAAGAGCTACCAATGCATCCCGGAAAAATCACTGTTTGGTGTGGATTATGGGCCGGCGGCCCGTCAATTGGCCGCCTAGATCGTGTGATTTAACGCCGTTGGACTATTTCTTTTGGGGCCATGTTAAGGCTAATGTCTACAGGGTTAAACCAGCAACGATTGACGTACTGGAAGCCAATATTGAAGCATTTATTCGTGAGATACCGGCCGATATGTTGGAGAGAGTGTGCCAAAATTGGACCTTGCGCATGGGCCATCTAAAGCGGAGCCGCGGCCACCATTTACATGAAATAATCTTCAAACATTAAATTATATCGACCGTTCTATCGACTCAAATAAAGATTTAATCGTTTTTTCAAATTTTTTGTGTTTTTTTTTAAATCAAATCACCCGATAGTATAGCAGATTGTATCAGAAATGCCTGGAAAAGACAAGGCTGCTGCAACCTACTGTCCTATTATTTATCATTCATAAAAATGATGTTTTATAGAAAAAACAGATACTCGCAGATTCAACCGGCCAGATCTTCGACTAAGACAAGTGTTCATATGGCGGACATGTCACAGCACAACGTTGCCAGATGGGTCGGACAGAATTTCCGCAGAACAAGCGCAAAATTATCCCAGAATTCCTATTAAAAAAATTCTCCAAATCACAAATAATGGAAAGGGGTAAGTTTGACTGATAGAGCGAGAGGATGCTTTGTATCCCCAAAACCTTCCCCAAGTACAAATCCCCCTAATTTGAGGTAAATCTGCCAACATGGCAACCCTGTCAAAGCACCACCACGTCAAGTTGGGGGGGGGGTGGGTCATTTTTACAGCTCGAACAGCATTGCCGTAGTTTTTTTCCGGTATAAAGGCCATACAACATACTTCCATAACTGACGGCCAAGTGAAAACTGCGGTCAAACTGACAAAGTAATTCTATAGCGGGGGCGCTTTCCGTCCACTTGTAACAGATGTGTGTGTTGCCTAAACGTCTTGGCACTTGCGCTATATGGTTTGGGTCTGATGTGATGTAACATCTTCAGAGATGGGACTATCGACGGCCATCCATAGCTTCTGAAATGTATGGGGCTATCCTATTTGTATTCTGATCTACCTGTATATGTTATGCGAGTGATACTTCGGTGCGAGACGTCCACCTGATCGTTTTGTAAAAAGTTTTATTTAAAACTGTTAACATTACTGATTAATAAACCACTTGGTATAAGGAATACAAGTGCTTATTACAGTAATGCTGGCGACTCACTTTTTCACTTTTTCTTACTTTTTTGATCCGTCTCACTTTTGCACACATTCCATTGAATACACACTTTCCTCACTATTTTTGCTCTCGCTGTACACATTGTAAATGTCCTCCTTCTCCCAAGTTCCAAGAAATTAAATGAAGATAGTTTTTTTTTCACTGATCAACAGCCAAAAAATATCCTAAATAAAATCAACAAAATATTGCTATTTTTAATGTGCTAAAACCGGAATGAAACTTATTTTTTCAATAATTAGTTCAAGTTTTAGAGATACGGTAATTATATGTGTTCCTGCTGTGACAGTGTTAATATACTGTAATTCACAAGAATGCACGTGCTACATTTTTATATTCGGCAAGGAAAGATGATGTAATCGGCATGATTGTGTTACGTTATACATACGTGTACATTATATTGTTTTATATTAGCCATTTTTTCCTCAGTTGGCAGACAGCGTTCATGCAAGATGTCTCGAAAGTGTGTAAACAATCCAGATCAGTTTTGTTACGGGTGTGGTGATGTGACTTTTGCGTCTCAGAGACGGTCTATTACTCCACTAATAACAAAGGCATATCAGCTTTATTTCGGTTG